ATGATGGAGCCGTCGTAGGAGCTGAAGACGATGTTCGTCGTCACATAGCAGAAGAGCAGGGGATCCACATACTCGAACAAGGAGGATGAGTTGATTTGTGACTGTGAGGCGTATTTGGCCACTAGTGTGGATCCGTTTCATGGATCGGAACAAAATGGCATGACATTTTCGCAAAGTATGCATGCCTGGTTTTATGAGCAAAAGTGTTATGATCCCTACCACACGAAAATGATCCATAATCATCAATAATACATCATTCAAAAGGACATCAACAAGTTTATGACACGTACGAATAAGCGCAGAACCGGTGGCCAAATGACGCGACACTCAAATAGCTCGTATGTTTTGTGACTTGTTGCTCTATTTATTGGTCATTTCATTGATTCGCTAGATTGCATGCGGCTAGCTACTGCATCAGCCCACGCTCACGCGTGTATCCGATTTGATTAAAAACTGGGCCGGTAGTTCCACCCAAAATCTCAGTCTTCTAGTGCAAGGTCAGGTGAATAATCCACAACTTGATGTATGCTTTTCCTTGCTATATACTGAGTCGTACAAAGCTCGAAGAGCATATTTGTGAGGCAGATCCCTAAATGCAGAGTTTAATGTGTCAACCGAAGTCCATAGAGAAAGACAGATTGTACACTTATGCTTCGTTACTTCCAATGTGGACGTGGACGTGCAGCGTACTTGTGCTGCATACCAGCAGGACAGCTTTCAAGCGGGCGCCGTAGCAGATTACGAGCATCGCTGTTGATCAATGAATTTGGCAGCTCATCTGTCAACATTCAAAAAAATGATTACGAGCATCTTGCGGATGGCGAAATTTGTGTACCGCATGGTCTATTAACTCACTTTCACTGTTGACTATCGTACAGTATATGTGTAGGCCGATGGAGACATTGCTGAAGTTGCGCATTCTGTGTTGAGCTAGCACAATCGTGACTGATGCGTGTGGGTGCAGCTGTCGTTTTAGTTGTACTAATGAGAACTGTAGTACGTGATAATGGGGACTGTATACCAGAAGGGAAAAAAGAGCGCGAAGGACGTCACGAGATCATGGTGAAATAAAATCGTGCACATACTGATCTGATCTTTAGGTCGCACATGTCCTATCCTGGCATGCCCAAAGAGTCATTTAATCCAAAGCTCCCAACTACTTTCAACTGTTAGCTTTTTTTTTTGTGAAGTAAAGGGAGTTTTATTCAAATGTCATAGTGTTACAGTCGAGAGGCCACAAATCCTCAATACAAGGTGGAACCGAACGCAGCCACACTGCTGTAGTCCGTTCGGAACGACTATACTTGGCCAAACGATCGGCAACTCTATTCTGAGACCGACAAATTTTCAGAGGTACAAACTCCCTATTACTCATCAACTCCTTAATTTCTAGAACCAAATGACCGTAGGCGGAGCGAGATAAAGCATCGCTTGAGAGACTCGCCAAGGCTTCATAGGAGTCCGACTGAACGACGACCGGAAGAACCGAGTGTTGGATGGCCAAGGCCATACCCTGCATGAGCTTCTTTTATTTGAAACTGTTAGCTTGAAGGTACAACAGGGATAGCTTCTCTTTTCATTTGAAACTCTTGACTTAGTTAGACTGTACTCTGTTAAGAGTTTTATGATCAGGACGCAGGTTCATTTTAAAGTATCCTGTAAAAAAAAGTTCATTTTAACAATAACATGTTTCTAAATACGTCAACATATTCTTACCGTAGGAACTTCTTTTAATACGAGATGCATATGTATTACAAAAATTTGTATGCTCCAAAAGAAGTTTGTTGCTTGTAAAAAAAGTTCATACATTCTGGAAATATGTTCATCCCATGTTAAAAAAAATGTGCATACATTCAAAAAAATGTTTGTGCCTTGTCAAAATGCAGTATATATTTTCCCGAATGGGAGTACAATATTTTAGAACTGTATGGACATTTGTATAGCCTTAAAAATATTTTGGTGTCAAGTATATCTTGAAGAAAACATACAAGAGAACATTTGGAAATTTGACTTGGGAATGTAAATGCAGTGCATATTAAATTGGATTATTTTCTGAACAACTTATTTCCAAAATATTGATGCAAGTTAACATGGAGCTTTTCTTATTGTGATAATTGCTTTGATTGATCTAGAGATCATTATAAAAAATTTGGTGTACAGAATATTTTGTAGAAAACATTCGATTGTGATATTTTTCTTGGATTTTTTTCTTTTTTTCTAAAGTACACTTTTTCGAGAAAAAAATATACAGTTAGTGTTAAGAATATTTTGAAGGAAAATACAAGTGTACACTGGAAAAATTGATTTTCAAATATAAATGCAGTACATAATCAATTGGATTTGTTGTCCTAAACATTTTGTTTGGAAGAACATGATTGTTGTTGTAAAGAATATCTTGAACATAGCATTGAGCTTCCTCTGTAGTAGAACTTACTTTGATTGATCTAGAGTTATTTAAAAAAGATGCATGTGGGTGTAAAGAATATTTGAAAAAAAAAATCAGTCACTCTATCACTACAAATCATTAACATGTACTCTATGGCGAACCAACATGTGGTTGGATGGTTAGAGGGACAGTTGTATCCCAAGCCCACCAGGGTTCAAGTCCTGGTGCTCGCATTATTTCTGGATTTATTTCAGGATTTCCGGCGATGTGCTTTCAGTGGGAGGAGACGTTTCCGTCGACGACGAGGCGCCTATGGTGACTTCATAAATTTCAAGATGACATGCCGGCTCAGTCTCTTGGAGGTGCTCATAGGGGTAGGGTGTGCATGTGTGCGTTCATAGGGGTGAGTGTATGCGCGTATGTATGAGTGCTTGCGTCTGTACCGATGTTTTAAATTTTTTTAACATGTACTCTATAATAATAAAACATGATCCATCCTTATCATCTACCACTCTGACATGTTCATCTAATAGCTTAATGATACAACCCTCCCTCCCTCTGCTGGTAAAGTACTTGCTAGTCCTAACTTTAGCATTGATAAGATAGGGAAAAAAGATTTCTGACACACTGGAGTGGGGGCACACAAATTGTCAACCGCTAGTCTACGCTAAGATTTGGAAACTCGTTTATGCATATCATCTATTTTCCCGCATATAGCACTACCCAAATATGTTAATCTGAGCGTAAATGGAAAGCAACATACATGTTTCTATGGGACCAGTTTCGAGGGTACACATATTTCGATAAATTGTCTGTACAACAACTTTTGTAGTGAAACCGTACCATTTTGGAAAAATCATTCACTCTGTCTTCTTCTTCCTGGTTGTCTGTTCTTCTAGTGCATCTTCTCTCCCTAGAATTCTTGTGTTCGAGTAGCAATGGTGTATTGGAAAGGGACCAAAGTGATTCCATTCTCAGTGACTTTTAGAGACGTCAATGGTAGTAACAACAATAGCAGAGGTATATCCGAACCTTTTGTGGCTGAGGTTAGTTGTTCTTGTATGTTTGATCTGGATTGAAGATTCATGTTTGTACAACGGTTGCTTATGCTTGCTATGTGTTCAATCTTATTTTTGTCATTTGTACTTCTACTGGCTTGTTTTCTTCCAGGTACTTGCATATTTGACATATTGAGTCTTTGTAGTAAAGAAAAAAAAAGTCAAATCTTAAGTTGCAAATAATAATGGAAGTACTTAGTTTAGGAATGTAAAATGTGTTTGTCCGAAAAACAAACTTACACAATTTCAACGACCATGTTAGTTACAGAAATAGATAATTAATTAGTACATTAGTGTTGAGTTAAGTTACAGTGCTTGTACTGGCTTGTTCTCTTCCAAGAAGTCGCATCTTGGAATTGTTAAATACTTGCACTGAGAAACTTTGGATGTCAAATGTTATAACGTTATAATGCAAATAATAATCGATGGTAAGTTTACGTATGTAAAATGTGTTATAAGTTAGGAAACGGAAACTTGGACAATTTTAATGAGGATGTTAGTTATAGACACATACACTTAATCACAAATTAGTGTTAACTTAACTTATAGGGAACGAAACTTAAGCTGGTACTATTACATTATAGACTTGACTTCTGTGACTTAATGGATACACCATTTTTTATAGATATGGTGTATAAGCTTTCAGAGACTTGCCCAGAACCTTTACCTTGAGTGTAAGGGGAGGAAACCGGCTATTCGAACTAGCGGAAATGATTAATATGAGATTGTGAATTCAAATGCAGGCACTAGTTATGAAACTTATCCAGTTAAGTTA